GAGAGAGAGAGAGAGAGAGAGAGAGAGAGAGAGAGAGAGAGAGAGAGAGAGAGAGAGAGAGAGAGAGAGAGAGAGACTTGACGTGCGTCTTTGTTGTTTGTTTTATGCGCGCCCGTGCAAAGATGCGCGTGAATCCTTCTTTCGGGAAGCTAGGGGGAGTCACAAAAAGAGTTTGAAAATACATTTTGGGCAAAAACGCTTTCAAACTGAACTTCTGGCAATGTATACAGACTAGCTTTCGGGTCAGGTAGGGCTAAGTGGGGGGGTGTTGTGTTCGGGGGAATGCTGAACATGTAATTTCAAACTGTTTTTGTGACAGTCACTGTATTTTGTTTTGCGTGTGGAAAGACATTTCGCCATGCCCGGTGCACTTGCGTTTTTTTGGTGGCCAAAAGTGTGCCGCCCCAAAAACGTTTTTTTTGGTGGCCAGAAGTGTGGCGCCCCAAAAACGAGGAAAGAAGTACCAAAAGTTACAGGTACTCGTACCGGTAGCGGTACCGACGTTATCTTGTGTCCTTGGCACTGAGGCTTGAGTGCCTGAGTTCATAAGGCCAGAGGCCGATGGGTAGCAAGCTTTGTAAGTTTGAAAAATGCGGGTGAATCTGCCATGATTCGTCATCGAAGGTATGTTTGCCGTAGTAAATGGAAAAAACGGTTCTTTTCTTACTTCGCTATATGCTCTCAAAATCTCTCACTCCCTGCTTACCCCTACTCCTAATGTTATGAAGGGGATGCCTGCAAGCATAGCTACCTCACAAGAAGGAAATTGCATACCCCTGCCCTAACAGCTGTAGTCACAGACGAGTATTGCATGTTGGTCCCCGGTTGCGGTCCGTCTAACACAGACACCGAGCTGCGGTGCGAGCATGTTTTTCAGTAGCTGGGCTTCCCTTTTCATCTTCCCCCATCCCCATCGAGTAAAAGCAGACTCAGCAGTGTCTAAGGCCAACGCTTTCCCGCACACCATAATTGCCGCTTTTTTGTTGACTTCTTTTTCCGAAAATTTGTGTGGTGCCCATTGTAGACTCTCCGACTAGGACCCGATATGCATCATCGCCATGCTACGAGAATGTAAGATTCACCTGTCCTCCTCGGATCAACCTCCTATTCATCCCTCACCACCATTAGGCC